ACATTTCATATAAAAGGGATCATATAGTATGTGCTTTTTAAAAATTGTACTTTAAGTTCTGGGGTACATGTGCAGATCTTGCAAGATTGTTGCAAAGGTACACACATGCCACGATGGTTTGCTGCCTCCATCCCCCCGTCACCTACATCAGGCATTTCTTCCAATGTTATCCCTCTCCACCCTCTCACTGTCCCTCCCCTAACCCCCCACCCCACAACAGACCCCAGTGTGTGATATTCCCCTCCCTGTGCCCTTGTCTTCTCATTATTCAACACCCACCTATGAGTGAAAACATGCGGTGTTTGGTTTTTTGCTCTTGTGTCAGTTTGCTGTGAATGATGGTTTCCAGATTCATTCATATCCCTACAAAGGACATGAACTCATTGTTTTTTATGGCTGCATAGTATTCCATGGTGTATATGTGCCACATTTTCTTTATCCAGTCTATCATTGATGGGTGTTTGGGTTGGTTAAAGGTCTTTCCTATTGTAAACAGTGCCACAATGAACATACGAGTGCATGTGTCTTTATAATAGAATGATTTATAGTCCTTTGGGTATATACCCAATAATGGGTTTGCTGGGCCAAATGGAATTTCTCTTTCTAAATCCTTGAGGAATCGCCACACTGTCTTCCACAATGATTGAACTAATTTACAGTCCCACCCACAGTGTAAAAGTGTTCCTATTTCTTCACATCCTCTCCAGCATCTGTTGTCTCCAGATTTTTTAATGATCATCATTCTAACTGGGGTGAGATGGTACCTCGGTGTGGTTTTGATTTGCATTTCTTTAATGACCATTGATGTTGAGCATTTTTTATATGTTTGTTGGCCCATAAATGTCTTCTTTTGAAAAGTGTCTGTTCATATCCTTTGCCCACTCTTGAATGGGTTTGTTTGTTTGTTTTTTTCTTGTGAATCTGCGTTAGTTCTTTGTAGATCCTGGATATTAGCCCTTTGTCAGATGGGTAAATTGCAAAAATTTTTTCCCATTCTGTTGCGCAATCAAATTAGAACTCAGGATTAAGAAACTCACTCAAAATCACACAATTACATGGAAACTGAACAACTTGCTCCTAAATGACGACTGGATAAATATGAAATGAAGGCAGAAATAAAGGTGTTTGTAGAAACCAGTGAGAACGAAGACACAATGTACCAGAATCTCTGGGACAAATTTAAAGCAGTGTCTGGAGGGAAATTTATAGCAATAAATGCCCACATGAGAAGCGAGGAAAGATATAAAATCGACACCCTATTATCAAAAGTGAAAGAGCTAGAGGAGCAAGATCAAAAAAATTCAAAAGCTAGCAAGTAAGATCAGAGCAGAACTGAAGGAGATAGAGACACCAAAAAACCCTTCAAAAAATCAATAAATCCAGGAGCTGGTTTTTTTTAAAAAGATCAACAGAATACACGAACTGCTAACCAGACTGATAAAAAAGAAAAGACAGAAGAGTTGAATAGATGCAATAAAACATGATAAAGGGGATATCACCACTGATTCCACAGAAATACAAACTACCATCAGAGATCACTACATACAACTCTATGCACATAAACCATAAGTCTCGAAGAAATAAACTCCTGGATATTTACACCCTCCTAAGACTAAACAGGGAAGAAGTTGAATCCCTGAATAGACCAATAACAAGTGCTGAAATCGAGGCAGTAATTAATAGCTTATCAATCAAAAAAAGCCCAGGTCCAGATGGGTTCACAGCCGAATTCTACCAGACTTGCAAAGCGGAGCTGGTACCATTCCTTCTGAAACTATTCCAAACAAAACAAAAAGAGGGAATCCTCCCTAACTCATTTTATGAGACCAACATCAACCTGATACCAAAACCTGGCAGAGACACAACTAAAAAAGAAAACTTCAGGCCAATATCCATGATGAACATCAATGCAAAAATCTTCAATAAAATACTGGCAAACTGAATGCAACAGTGCATCAAAAAGCTTATCCATCATGATCAAGTAGGCTTCATCCCGGGGATGCAAGGCTGGTTCAACATATGCAAGTCTATAAACGTAATTCACCACATAAATAGAACCAAAGACAAAAACCACACGATTATCTCAGTTGATGCAGAGAAGTCCTTTGACAAAATTCTATAGCCCTTTATGCTAAAAACTCTCAATAAACTAGGTATCGATGGAATGTATCTCAAAATAATAAAAGCTATTTATGACAAACCCACAGCCAACATCATACTGAACAGGCAAAAACAGTATGTGCTTTTTAAATGACTGGCTTCTTTCTTAAGCATAGTGTTTTCAAGGGTTATCAATTCTGCAGCACGCATCAGTACTTTATTTCTTTTTACTGCTGAATAATACTCCATTGTACCATGTGTTTTTCTCAGCACAGAGATAGGATGCTGTTCCGCTGTATTCTCCACAGCCAAATTCAGTTTGTTATGTTTCTAGAAAAAGGTGACAGTAAGTAAATATTGGCTGAGCCTTACAGGGGTGGCAGCAGTATTTAGAAAGTAGCTTTTCATGAGAGACTTTATTCACTCAGTTCTCTTAGTCTATTTAGTATTTCTGACTCACAAACGGAAGTTATTCTATTTTGGCATTCCTTCTCTCTTTCTCCTGCTTGGTCTCTACTGGCTTGCTGTGTTAAATTATGCAAGTTACTGAAACTCTGTTTGTTTAACTCTTGCGTGCTCTATAAAATAAGCTCAGTTCACTCTGCTTGTTTGCCAAAGCTGTTTGGAGACAATTTTTCATATGATATGCATCATCAGCTCCCACAGAAGGCAAAAGGAATTTGATGTGTGGGGGTAGTCTGGGATCCTATCCAAAATTAGTGTTCATCTGGAAGAAATATGGAAGCCTGATATTTGCTTACTGGCCTTTCAGTTGTATTCACTTATGCTTCTCCTCTAAGGAATTCTGGAAATCTTTATCTATTTTGTGGTTTTTTTCTTTTCTTTTCTTTTCTTTTTTGAGACAGAGTCTTGCTCTGTCACCCAACCTGGAGTGCAGTGGTGCCATCTCAGCTCACTGCAACCTCTGCCTCCCTGGCTCAAGTGATTCTCCTGTCTCAGCCTACTGAATAGCTGGTATTACAGGTGTGTGCCACCATGTTAGGCCAATTTTGCATTTTTAGTAGAGACGGGGTTTCGATACATTGACCAGGATGATCACAAGTGATCTCCTGGCTTGGCCTCCCAAGGTGCTGGGATTACAGGCATGAGCCACTGCGACCATCCGTGTGTGTGTGTGTGTGTGTGTGTGTGTGTGTGTGTGTGTGTCTTATGTATAAGATGAGATAAAGCTTAAAAAAAAAGATTGCAGTAGAAAAAGTTTTCTGATACCCTCTATTGGACAATTGTGAACCAAAGAGAGTAATTTGTGTGACCTAGCTTTGTGACTTGGGAAACGATTATCTATAACATTCAGAATTCTCTTTATTTTACCCTGAGACTGACCTCTCCAGACTCTAGGTTTGGATGTAAAATTAATTAGATTTAAATTTTCACTCCTTTACTTATGCAATATGCTCTGTGCTGAGTGCTGAGGAGGATGCAAAAAAATAACACAAAGAGATGTTAGGAGCAAGAGAGGTGAAAACCTACATGCTCAAGGAGCAGAAACCAGAGAAGACATTTCTGCTAGGTGGGGTGACAGATTTGATTACCTGGAGAAAAAAA